TATGTCATTAGTATTTTAATAGGGGTTGCATTGAATCTATAAATTAGTTTGGGTAGTATGGACATTTTGATGATGTTCATTTTTCCAGTCCACACACTATATGCTTCCATTTATTTGTGTCTTCCTTTATTTCTTTCTTCAGTGTTCTGTAGTTTTCTGAGTACAGGTCTTTTACCTACTTGGTTAGGTTTATTTCTAGGCACTTTATTTTTCTTGTTGCTATAGCAAACGAGATTTGTTCCCCTGATTTCTGTTTCTGATATTTCACTGTCGGCATACAAAAATGGCTTCAGTTACTGAATATCAATTGTGTATCCTGCTGCTTTGCCAAATTCACTATTATGTTGAGTGTTTTGGTGGTGTCTATAGAATTTTCCATGTATGTTATCATGTCATTGCAAACAATGACAGTTTCACTTTCTCCTTTCTAATTTAGATGCTTTTTATTTCTTTTTATTGTCAGATCACTGTGGCTAGAACTTCCAATACTATGTTGAATAAAAGCAGTGAAAGTGGACATCTTTGTCTTTTCCCTGATCTTAGTGGGAAAGCTTTTAGATTTTCCCACTGAGCATGATGTTGGCAGTAGATTTCTCATATATGGCCTTTATTATGTTGAGGTATGCTCCCTTTACTCCCACTTTACTAAGTGTTTTTATCATGAATGTGTGGTGTAATTTATTGAATGTTTTTTCTGCATCTATTGATATGATTATGTGATTTTTGTCTTTCCATTTATGTGATGTATCATGTTTATTGATCTGTGAATATTGTACCTTCCTTGCATCCCTGTAATGAATTCCACTTGATCATGGTATGTGATCTTTATAATGTAGTGCTGGATGTGGTTTGTCAATATTTTCTTCAGGATTTTGTCATCAATGTTTGCCAGCGATATCGGCTTGTAGTTTTCTTTCTTTGTTGTGTTTTTATATGGTTTTGGGATTGGGATGATACTGGCCTCATAAAAGAAGTTTGAGAATCTTCCCTTTCCTTGGATTCTTTAGAATAGTTTGAGAAGGATAGGGGTTAGCTCTTTCTTAAATGTTTTGTTAAATTGTCCTGTGAAACCATCTAGTCCAGGGCTTTTGTGTTCCAGGAGATTTTTTGATTACTACTTCATCCTCACTAGCTGTTATTCATCTATTTCAGGTTTCTGCTTCTCCTTGGCTCAGATTAAGAAACATATGATTCTAGAAATTAGTCCATTTCACCTAGGTTTTCAAAGTTTTGGCATATACTTGTTTGTAGTAATTTCCTACAATCCTTTGTATTTCTGTGGTATTGGTTATAATTTCTCCTCTTTCATTTCTGATTTTACTTATTTGGGTCAGGCCTGTCACTTTTTTTCTTGATGAGACTGTTTTAAAAGCTTATCAATTTTGTTTACATTTTCAAAGAAGAATATTTTTATTTTGTTTTTATTTTGTTTTCCTTTTCCTAAATTTATTGATCCTTTGAATTGTTGTTTTAGTCTTTATGTCATTTCATTTTGCTCTGATCTTGTTTCCTACCTTCTACTCATTCTGGGCTTTGTTGTTGTCCCTCTAGTTTTTTTAGATTCAGTGTTAGGATGTTTATTTTAAATATGCCTATCATTTTAGGTAGGCCTGCATCACTATGAACTTCTCTCTCAGGACTGTCTTAGCTGTGTCCCATAGGTTTTAGACTGTTGTGTGTTCATTTTCATTTGTTTTCAGAAACTTGTTGATTTCTTCCTTGACTCATTATCCACCTATTCATTATTTAATAGCATACTATTCAGTCTCCATGAATTTGAGTATTTTTTAGTTTTTTCCTTGAGGTTGGTTTGTAGCTTCAAGTGCTTGTGGTCTGAGAAAATGCTTGACATGATTTCAATTTTCTTGAATTTTTGGAGGTTTGTTTTGTGTCCTATCATGTGATCTATCTTTGAACATATTCTACATGCATTTAAAAATAATGTATATTTTGCTTCCTGGGATGAAAGATTCTATATATATCAGTTAAGTTGTTTTCATGTAGTGCATCATTTATGCTGTTTATGTTGACTCTCTGGATGTAATTGGGTTTTGACTATTGTTGGGTATTCTTTGGTGGGTCTTTCCCTTCTGCTGGTTGACTTAGTGTTACTTCACCCACCATGTATTGTATGTTGTTGTGCAGGTGCTGTCAGAACAAAACCACAAAATCCAGGAAATAAACCCACACCCTCAAAAATAACTTGCATTCCCAATACCACTATCAACAGCAAATAAACCAATATTAATAAGGGTGTAAAAAGATTAAGGCTTTATAAGAAAGGAGAGTGAATATGAGATGACCTACTGAAAGAAAAATGATTTTGAGGGGTTAGAGGGAGGAGCACTACCAAGAGTTGAAAATTTGAGAAATGCGAAGAGAGAAAGTAAAATTTACACCATAAATAAAAAAGGAATGAAGAAGGTAGAGTGGAGTAAGAGAAGGGAAACATATACTATTAGATTTAAACAGAAAATAAAATAAAATAAAATAAATATAAAATAAAAAATAATAAAATAAAATAAAAATAAATTAAAAAGTGAGAGACAGAAATAAAAAGGAAGAAAAAGTAAATAGATAAAAAAAAAATAGGAACCACCTGTCTGGTATAGCTCAGTGGATTGAGTGCGGGCTGCAAACCAAAGTGTCACAGGTTCAATTCCCATCAGGGTACGTGCCTGGGTTGCAGGCCATGACCCCCAGCAACCGCACATTGATGTTTCTCTCTCTCTCTCTATCTCCCTCCCTACCCTCTCTAAAAATAAATAAATAAAATCTTTAAAAAAAATAGGAACCATATTGGAGAGAAAAATCTACCACAACACTATCAACAACAAATGAGCTGATCCAAGATGGCTGAGGCATGAGTAGAAGTTACACTAACCTCCTCCCAGGACCAAACTAGAATTACAACTAAACTGTAGATAAACCTCCCAGAACAAATGACTGAATAATAGTGAGAAAGAAGCCTTATAACCTCAGACAGACAGAAGAATCAGCTTCAGCTCAATGTGACAGGTAAGGAGTGCAGTGGAGACATAAGAGGGCTGGCTAGGCACCCACAGAGGGCAGCTGAAGTGCCAGAGGGACATTTAAGCAGCTGGTTGGATCGCTTAGAGAAGTGTGAAGTCTAAACCCTAAGCTGGAATCCCTAGCCTAAAACAACAGTGCCTAAAAAGTACTCAGATAACATCCAGCTGAGAGAAGGGGCAGGGTTGCTCTCTGCTAGAATTGGATGGCTAGAGAAGCAAAGAGCTGCCTAAAGGGCCAGCACATACATTTTCATTTGCAGTTACTTATCCTGGGCTTCAGCAAAAGGGAGGTGGGGGCACAGTAGATGCTTGAGGAAAGACTGGGGGCAGAGGTTTTGGGTGGAGAACTGAGAGAGTAGCTGCTGGGATCCTGGTGCTGAGTCATCCTCCAATACTGCAGCAGCCAGGCATCTTGCTCAGACAGACCACCCTCCTCCAAGTGGAAGCAGCTTGAGGGAAAACAATAGCCTGACCCAGGAGGGATTCTGCCCCGCCCTGTGGTGCTTAAGCCTGAGTGCAGATTGACTAGATTAATAAGTGAAGGAGTCAGCCACAGGCAGTAGATCCCTGGAAGTCTGTAACAGGCTGCCTAAGGTCAGATAGGGACATCACATGACATCACCAGAGGCTGATACAGAAAGAAAAACAGTGGTAAATACTAGATGCTACTGAGATGAAATCCACCATAATCTTCTCCATGATTGGCGATATTTTCTTTCCTGTATACCTTTTTTACATGAATTTCTTGGCCTTCAAGGTTGTACATATTAAGTCACTAGATTTTATACTATAGTTTATTGAAGTTCACATATTTTGCTCCTTTCTTCTCTTACCTCATTTTACCTTCTTCTTTCCTCTTATTATTTTCATTTTAAATTTTATTTTCTCTCATGCTATGACTTGTTTCCATTCCACACTCTTGCTATTTCTTCCCTGTCCAGCCTCTCAAAACCAATTTTCTTGTTAATGGTCATCTCACATTTCTTTTTCCTACTCTTAAAATACCTGTGTTCTATCTCCACATTCAGCAATCTTTGCTTGTTGGTTGTGGATAGGGTAGTTGTTGTATCATTTTTTTTTATTTTTATCTTTAGATCTTCACTAATTTTGTATTTCAAATCTCAAATTTTACCATTCCCCTCTCCTACTATTTTTTTCATCTCAAATTTTAATTTTGTCATGTCTTAGCCTGCTTTTTTTCTTTCTGTTTTTTCTTTCATCCTGCCCTTTTTTAATTTTTTTTCCTTTCTTTTTCTTTTAATATCAAATATTAATTTTTACTTGTATTATCCTAGTTTTTATTCCTCACTCTTAGTATTCCCTCTCCCTCTATCATCTCAAAATCACTTTCATTTCCTTTAGACATCTCTTAGGCCATTCTTTCTTTTTCTTATTCCTATCCCCCCTATATTAATTTTAGTTCAAACATCTTGTTTAACTCCTTTGTATATATGATACCAACTTGGCTAAAAATTCCATTACAATAATCAATTAGTGGTTGAAATCTTTAAGCATGTTTTTTATAATTCTATTTTTCACTTGCATGTCTCCAGAATGTTGGAACCTCTGAAAATCTGACATTCCAATGTTCATGCACACACAAATCTTACATTTCAAGAATTGTTAGAACCATAAGTTGAGCACAGTACTAAGTGTCTTAGACATCATGTGCCACTATCAATAAGACTGTCAATATTGGTGTCATACAGAAAGACCCACTATAAACTGAAAAGAAATAATTTACTTATTTTTTTACAGCTCAAAAGGACAACTGTTAGTGACAATTTTGATGCTTAATGGCTTTCAGCCTTGAATAAATATTTTAAAATAAAATCAGAAGTATATTTATCTCTACCATAAGCTGCTTAGTTTTCTAGTTATTAATCCTCCTAGATCCTTCTTCCCTCCCACCCACTTTTCGGGGTATTAAAACCATCACTTTATTATAGAAATGGTTATTGAACTCACGGATCATTAGACTTTGGAATAAGAGTACCAAGCTCGTTGATTCGGTAATTAATATTATACCTTCTTCTTCTTTCAACTATTAAAAAAAAGAAATATTTATTATTCTCATTAAAGCACAATTCACTTTTATATAGATGTAAACTTTCTTAATAATTTTTAAAGAACAAAAAAATTTCATTTAATCAAAAAATATTTCTCAAAATAAAATAAAAATTCAAATATATTTTATTCTAAAAGAATAATAATATATTATTCACAATGTCTTAAAATATTTCCTTCTGAATACATGTTTTTCAGTATTTAAAATGCCATATAATATTTACTCATACTGAAACATATATATTTTTTATATATATGCATTTTGTCAGTCCATAAGGATTATAAATATCTGAGGACTTAACTCTTATATACAGCCCTGAAGGCCTAACACAAAGTTTGGCACATGGTAGGTATGTGTAACCAAGTAAACTATGACCTTTTTGAGGGAAGGAACTGTTTCCTCCTCATTTTTGTATCTCCAGAGGCTTTGGCATATAAGAGAAGCTAAATAAATACATGTCAATTAGAATGTAAATATGTTCTTTTAAATTTTTCAATTATATATAGAACAGTGTTTTTCAAACTTTAGTGTATATCAGACATGCCTGAAAGAATTGTTAGAATATATATGTACCCTACTAGTAGAGATTCTGATTTTAGTAGGTCTGGGTTGGGGTCCCAATATTTGCATTTATAACAAGCTTGCATGTGATTCTGATGTTCACTTTTAAAGGTTTCTTTAAAAATGATTATGCTTGAAAATTAAGATCATTACCAGAAAGAAGAAAAGACATGAAAGACACACAATGGTCTTTGTGAACCTAAAATATACGTATGGATTTGACCTTCAGGAATAATACATTGGAATTCCTTTGAAATTAGAATATAATTTATTCTCGATGCAGTTTATTTCCCTTCTTTATTAATTCTATTTTCCCTGTGCATGTGATTCAAAGAGCATGACACCACATTAAAAAAAATTGAAAATAAAGATAAAGCTGATAGAAATACATATATATTTCACAGCTAGAATGTGTTAATAAATCTATGTTCACACATACTAACTCCTATATTATAAAATAGATTTTTAAGTATAAAATGAGGCCCTGGCAAGGTAGCACAATTGGTTAGAGCATCGTCCCAATACACCAAGATTGCATGTTCGATCTCCAGTCAGGGCACATACCAGAAGTAACCAATAAATACATAAATAAGTAGAACAACAAACTGATCTATCTCTCTCTCTCTCTCTCTCTCTCTCTCTCTCTCTAAAAATCAATAAATAAAAAAAATAAATATAAAAGGAAGAACAGCTATGAAGTATATTCAAAAACTTATCTCAAAATAAGGGGTTGTTTTAGTCCTAAAATATTTCCCCAAAATCTATTATTTAAATATAAATAATAAATTTACCTTGTAAACTATCAGAAGTTTCTACTCTACTCTTCTTAAGTTGTGCTCGATACATGTTTAATGGCTAATTATAATGAGAGCTTTGGTTTCTCAATGTTTTCATACCTAGTACTAGTTATTTGTAGAGAAGTCAATTTTTAAAAAGTATAAGATGTCACGTGTGATTTCACTCTTCACAAAATTGTTGATATATTCGATCATTTTTGCCTTTGGATACAGGAGAGAGGAGTCTCTATCTAGGACCTCATACTTAAGAGGAACCATGCTTGCCTTCTTTCATCATATGCATCTCCACTGAGCAAGGCAGCCACAGAGCCAGGCTGATCCCTTCTAAAACACACACATAAGGGATATCCTCTGAAACATACTGAGCCTACTGCTAGAGCCTACAAAGGCCACTTCTCAGGTCCATCTTTCTGAGGGAAGATCATAACACCAGTGTGCTCACCACTAGACCCAAGATATGGACAAGGAGCAACTGTTTGCTGACGTGTATGGAGCTTGAATGTACTGGATCAAGTAGTCACACTCACACCTAAGACCACTGGAAACACAGAATGAAATATAGGGTGAAGAGACAAGTGAGTATTGCCCCACTCTGACATTCCCATTCAGAACTCCAAGGATCTGAGAATTCTAAATTCATAGCTGGCCTTCCAGTCCTTAGGAAGGATAGAGTATACTTATTTTAGCACTCTCTAACTTGACTCATAACTTTTAAATATTTAGATATCTGGTAAGTGGGACTTGATCTGTCTTCTTGTCACAATCTTCACAAACTTTAGGGGTTATCCTAGATTCAACATATTTAAAATGTGATATTAATTTTTTTAGCCATGATATCTCCAAAAAGCAAAATCACTCAATAAGGGAATCCAGATTAGAAAACACTTCAATAATGGACATACAAGGCACCTATTATACTTTATCTCAAATGACCTGTTTTTTAAGCTGCAGAAATAGAAGAGAGAAGAAACAAACAAGGAGAGTAATGATAAGCAGTCTAAAATAAAAGAGAAGCCCTTAGTTCTTTACTGTATTAGTTCTTTCTTTTTTTTATTGTTGTTCAATTACAGTTGTAATTTCCCCCCTACTACTCTCCCCTGCCCTACCCACCTCACCTTCCACATTCAATCCTACCCCCTTTGGCTTTGTCCATGGGTCCTTTATACATGTTCCTTGATGACATTCCCCCTTTTTTCACATTATCACTCTCTCCCCTCCTCTCTGGTTACTGTCAGTTTGTTCTTTATATCCATGTCTCTGGTTCTATTTTGATTGCTTGTTTTATTGATTAGTTTCCATTTAGAGGTGAAATCATATGGTATTTGTCTTTCACCACCTGGCTTATTTCACTTAGCACAATGCCCTTCAGTTCCATCCATGCTGTCATGAAGGGTAGGATTTCTGTCTTTCTTTCTGCTATGTAGTATTAATTCTTTTTTTCTTTTTTTTTTTTAGAGAGGGAAGGGAGGGAGATAGAGAGAGAGAGAGAAACATTAATGTGCGGTTGCAGGGGGTTATGGCCTGCAACCCAGGAATGTTCCCTGGCTGGGAATCGAACCTGGGACACTTTGGTTCCCAGCCCGCGCTCAATCCACTGAGCTACGCCAGCCAGGTAATTCTTGCTATCAATAATTAGCTCTCCATAATCATGTTCTACTTATAATGTGGATATAAGCTTCTTGGCTCTACCACTAATGGCTATCAGAATTAGATCATTTCCCTTTCCACAAATACCCTGAGGACTGTCATAACCTTGTGTCAGCTGTTTCCTCAGAGTCACATAGGAAACTAATTATTCTGTGACATATACCAGTGAGTATGAACAGACAGATGAAGGTGTTACAAGTGCAGGTAGAATCAATTTCAGCTAATTACATGTAAGGAAATTCCTGGTTTATTTTAGAGCATTAAATTTTTTATCTTGTTTTATTCTTTTCTCATTTTTTGATTTGGCTCCCAGAACAAAAAGGCTTCACAGTCATTTACCCAAGCTCACTTGAGAGTTAAGCACTTGAGGCATAACCAAACATTATCAAGCTCAACATTCTTGCTAAACAACTTCCTTTGCCTATGTTTATTCCTCTCATGTGACCTGTTATCAGAGTTAAACTGACCCATCAGGGTCTTTTCTTTTTTTATGTTGGAATTCAGAAATCCAACATAAGCAATACTTTTCAGATAACTTATTAGGAAAGAAAGAACAGATTGACAGAAAGATAAAAACCTGGAGTTATGTTTCTTGCTATTTAAATGGTGTACAATTCATTTACATGATGGAATACTATGCAGCAGAAAGAAAGAAGGAGCTCCTCTTCTTTTCAATGGCATGGATGGAACTGGAGAGCATTGTGCTAAGTGAAATAAGCCAGGTGGAGAAAGACAAATACCATATGATCTTACCTATAAGTGGAACCTAATCAACAAAACAAAGAAGCAAGCACAATATAACCAGAAACATTGAAATTAAGAACAAACTGACAGTAACCAGAAGGGAGGTGGGAGAGGATAATGGGGGAAAAAGCGGGGAGGGTTTTTACAAACATCTATAAAGAACACATGGACAAAACCAAAGAGGGTATGATCAAGGGTGGGAAGTGAGGATGCCTGGGGTAGGGGGGAGTGGTGAGGTATAAATGGAGACAACTGTACTTGAACAACAATAAAAAAGTTAAAAAATAAATGGTGTACAATTTCTAAAGTCACTTTAAACCTTTGAGCCAATGAATCACAATAGAGTTCAAATGTAACTAGGACACAGGTGGCAAACACAAGGCCCTTGGGCCGAATCTGGCCCTCCATCTTGTTTTATGCAGCCTACAGTGGCAGTGCAGGATTCCTTGCCCCTAGTTCAGGAGTAGTTACATTTATACAGTCCTAAAATTACATTTGGCCCTTGAGGGCAACTGTGAGGATGATGTAGCCCCTGGTGAAAATGAGTTTGACATCCCTGCACTACATGAACTCATCTCCATCACATGCAACATTCTTGAGAGAGAATGATCAAGGAGAGAATTTGAAAAGTTTCAATTTGTGAAAGTGTATAGCTTTTCTGAGATTTTATATCATTTAAATGTCTCTGAATAGCTCAACTGGTGAGATGTACTATTAATTTTGGTCATCTGACCTCAAAATACTTGTGGAGACACAATAAATAACAACACATTTTAACCTCCATGATTTCTATTGTATTACTTTTGTTTGGAAAAGAAGAAAAAGAAAAATGTACTCACTGAGGTTGTGGTTGTCCTTTTTCTGTCTCTCTTTTGCTAAAGCTGGAGTGTCAGTTTCTGATAAAAGGGAGATAAAACAATTCTTAGTTCTACTGTGTACCCCTTTAATCAACATAATTCAAGAATACTAAGTGAAATACGATATTACTTGCTCCAAGCAATATAGTATTTTTATGCAAATATTTAGATATCGGAAGAAAAGTACTCTTTGAGTAAGAGGCAATGGCAAGCCCTTTAGACTTTGAGTAGTAAAAATCAGATTTGTATACTGGCCCTCCATTTAATAGCCTTCTGATTTACTAGGTAAATTCTCAGTTGCAGTCTCTTCATCTGTAAAATTGGCACAATATTGTGATGATTAAAAGAGGAACAGTGCACAGCAAATGTTTAACAGCTCAATTATTATTATTTTCAGAACTTTAATATTATTCAAACCTAACTTTTATAACCTATATTTACAACCCCCCCACACACACAATCTTTACCTGAGGATATGTTTTTGATTTTTTCAGAGAGAGAGAAAAACATTGATGTGAAAGAGAAACATCAGTCAGTAGCCTCACATATGTGCCCTGACTGGGGATAGAACCCATGACCCAGGTATGTGCTCTGACCAGGAATCGAACCCACAACCTCTTGTGTTTGGGTTGATGCCCCTAACAACTGAGCCACCCAGCTGGGGCAACAATCTACATTTTTCATAACTAATTATGATACATAAATTATAGGATTTGGAATTAAGTACATTTCTTAGATATTACTATTAAACAATATCAGTAAATAACACATTATATGCTATTTGGTTGTGAACATTTGTGATAGTCATCTTCCAACATGGCCCACAATGATTCTTATTCATAATATTCACACACTTGTTAATTCCCTCTCATATTGAATAAGGCTGACCTGTGAAGTCAATAGAATATTGTATAAATGACTGGTGTGGCCTCCAAAAATAGGTATAAATGACATTTTCAGCTACGAATTTGGTGTGTCTTGGATCACCAGTTGTCATGTCATGATGAAACTTGAGTAGCCCTATGAATGTCCACATGTTAAGTACCAAGGTCACTCTCCAACTAGCAGCATTAACTTTCAAGACCTATAAGTGAACTACCTTGGAAACACATGCTCCAGCCCATTAAGGGTCAAATGTATGTATCTTTAGCAAACATCTTGACTATAGCCTTATGAGAAACTCTGAGTTAGAACCAATTTTCTAAGCTACCCCTGGATTTCTGACCCATAAAGATTATTTGAGATAAGTATTATTTCAAGCTATCAAGTTTTGAGGTAATTTTTTATAAATTAATATAGTGTCCCTTTAATTATTCTAATTTTTAAAATAGGTAATATAGAAATACATTTATTTAAATTTGTTCATTTCAACTACGGGCATTAATTTTGGCCTAAATTATTTGAATGCATAAATATTTGTGCATTATTGATTAGACTGTGTAAAAATTACTTAAAAACAATGTTTGGCCTCCAAACTAAAAATGTGTAATAGACATTTCAACTTAATTTTATTTTATGCAAATGAAGGAACTAAAACTGGACTTATAAGTCAAGAAATCCTTATTTGATCCATTTTTCCCTACTCAGCTTTATGACTAGAGAACAATAACTCCTCTGACTCTTGATTTCCTCATCTATATCTTGAAGGGATTTTACCATGTCTCTAATGCCTTTGAGTTATAATAATTTTAGAATATATTATTAAAAATTGAGAGGTTTTCACTCACTTGTGAAAGTTAAATGTAAGTCCATCATAAAATTCATAAAGCAAGCTAAAAGAGAAAATCAAGTTGTTTTATATCAAATTTTACATATAAATGGACTAATTTTTCCTAATCTATTAATCTATTATTTTGCAACCATATTAATAAATTGCATAATATTATATTAAAATGAACCTATGTTAAGAACTTCTCAAGCTGTTTTATACATATACATGTTATATATATGCATATGTATATATGTGTGTGTATAGAGAACATATATGTATATTTGCCCATTTTTCTAAAATAATAAATCAATTCAGTTGAACTACAAGTTATACTCTAAATCCTAAATGTCTCCTATTTTACCTGACAATTTTGATATTTAAAATTTTTTATTTATCTTGATAATACATCCTACTCATTTCTTATGCAGTTGACTAAAAAAGGATAAAAGAGTAAAAGCAACATTACCTGTAATTTCTCTTTTCACTGATAGACTCCTTGGACAGGAAGCATTTGTAAGACCCATATTAACTGATGAAATTCCCTGCTCACTACTATAAACATCCAAAATACTGCCAGATAACTTTAGGGAAAAAAGAAAGAAAAGGTCAATTAATCTTTTAGTGGACATTGATATATTTGGCTATATATTTTAAATTTGCCACTTTAAAAATTATAATAAATATTTTAATCTTAAATAAAAATGAGTATGCATTGACTTTAAAATATGGATTTTAAATCCTCAATATGGATGCTTGTGGAAATGTTAAAAAAAGTTATTTGTATGTAAGCAAAAAAAAAGAAATTAGTTTACTCATGAAGGAAAATTCTGATTACAATTTACAAATTTATAAAAGTTTGATCTATCACATTACCTAGTTATAAATGAATAAGATTAAATATATCACTTGGATAAAAATCAATATACATATTAGCAACGCTGATAAGAATATCATAAATTAGGTATAATGGTTGAACATTTTAGAAACCTTCTTAACACTATCAGTGCTACCGGCCACTCACAGTCAATAAGTGTTTTACACTGTTAATTGAGAAACTCCCTTTTCTCACAGGAAGGCATACTTTTTTCATTGCACACCTAATGTTCTAGATTTTTATAATTATTCCAGATGGTAACAAAAAGTAGCCTAAAACTACTTTTGCCTGTACTAGATATAGGTTACATCTAATTATAGCAGCATTACAATTCTTTTTTTAAGATTTTATTTACTTATTTTTTAGAGAGGGAAGGGAGAGAGAGAAAGAGGGAGAGAGGGAGGGAGGGAGAGAGGGAGAGAGAGAGAGAGAGAGAGAGAGACATCAGTGTGTGGTTGCTGGGGCTGTGGCCTGCAACCCAGGCATGTGGCCTGTCTGGGAATCGAACCTGTGATGCTTTGTTTCACAGCCCACATTCAATCCACTGAGCTACGCCAGCCAGGGCTCAACATTACAATTCTTAAAGTGCTGTTGGGAACAATTTTTCAGATAGCTGTTTTCTATATAATTCAAAATTGTACCAATTTATCACTTAAAATGTGCATATTGATTTGATTTCTCAAGAAAATTAAATTTAAACACCATAGTTTAAGTTAATATTCATTATTCCAGAACAAGCTAAGTTCAAAATGTGTGACTTGAACATTTGAAATATTTCTATTCTATATATCATTATTTCATTTATAGACAGTAAACCAGGAACTGAATAAGTAGTAACTTTTTTCTTTCTTTAAGAACCACACACAACTAATGAAACAAAGCAACAATCAGTTTATTACAAAAACTAACTCCTTATTCCAACTTCTTGTAAAATTCTGATTCAAACTGAAGAAATTTTTTGGTACTTATAAAATCAGACTGGAAATAAATATGAAGAAAAGACAAATGAAGATAAAAATTAACTTCTGAATAATAATCCATTAAACTATATATAATAATGTATATTTTTCAGAGAAAAATGTTAAAAATACAGTGGAAATCAGGTTAATCTGTAAGTACATGTGCATATTAATAGAGACATTATAGAATACATATGTACTCTGATGTATATTTATAAATATTACCATATTTTTGGACCATAAAACTCACCTAGGTTTTAGAGGAGGAAAATAGGAAAAAAATTTTGAAGCAAAAAAATGTGGTAAAATATTTAATAATGCCCTGGCTGGTGTAGCTCAGTGGATTGAGCACAGGCTGCGAACCAAGGGGTCACTGGTTCGATTCCCAGTCAGGTGACATGCCTGGGTTGCGGGCCAGGTCCCCAGTGGGAAATGTACAAGAAGCACCCACACATTAACATTTCTTTCCCTCTCTTTCTTCCTCCCTCCCCCCTTCTCTAAAAATAAATAAATAAAATCTTTAAAATATATATTTAATAACATAAATAACATAATATTTCACCAATATAAATGTAAACAGAACCCAACAGCAGCATTAACAACCATTATTCCTCCCAAATTGGGGCAGGGGGTGCATCTTATAGTCTGAAAAAGATAGTAGTTCTTTTCATGTTTACTCTATTAGGAATCTTTATCTTTGTTTTATATAAATTCATTATTTTAAAAGGTATTTGCACTTCATGCATCTTGGAAGGGAGCTACTTAAGTCAGAAAATTTTTTTCAATGTTCTCATCTGAAAAATAGGGACAAAGTTGATCATATGGGATAGATGATAAATGTTAGTATTAGAATAATACAATTAGGGAAAAATTTTAAAAGCAGTTATTTCCTTAACTTGTGAGTCATTTAGTCTTATTTATAAAAATAAAAAAGTTTCCAAGATCTTTTTGGAAAACCCTATTGGTTATAACCTGAGGTATCACCATCCTAAATTATACATTTCTACTATACCTTTGAGAAATAGAATGGTTATGCCAAACAAGAAAACAAGCACTAAGAGGGAAGGAAGGGGGAAGGAACTAGAGAAAGGGCATTTTTCTCTGAAAAGCTGGAATTCAAATGGATTTCAAAGCAGCAGCAGCAAATTGCAAAAATGTTTAAGAAGAAAAAGAGTCATATTACATATACAATGAAACAATAAAATGGTAGATTCTTAACATACTATTTTGCCGGGTCCATATTACCTAGTCAAACTATACCTAATCAATGATTTTAGCCTTAGAAATGGAGCTAAAATTCTGATAACAAATCTAATCTTGCTTCTTCACCATGGGTATATTACATCTTCTACTGACCTTGGTTATTGTCTAATTTATGCACTAAAAGCACAATGGTTAATATCCTATTTAATTTTATGCTGTAAGTACTACTCTATTTTATGTAAATGGCTAATCATTTTTTTGAATATCATTACATGGTTTATTTCAAAGTATCACACATTTCATATAATCTAAAGTGCCTTTTCTCCATTAAAATATATACAAGTATACTGTTAGGGAAAATTTAGATATTAAATATGCATCTGAAAGGTCTTACAAAGAAAAAGTATATTTAGTTTTCACAAAATTATTGATATAATTCACTTAGGCAATGAAGTCTATGTGTTTGTTTTATAAACAAGTTGGCAAATGGATATTTTATGAAGAAATATTTATTATTCTGGTTTAAAAGAATAATAAATATTATTCTTTTCAGTAAAGCCAAAGCTTCGACTTGAAATAGTAGAACATATCATTAACAAAAAACTAATCAATGGGCAATGTATTGATGTTTCTCTCACACATCAATGTTTCTCTCCCTCCCTTCTCTCTCTGAAAATAAATAAATCTTTTAAAACATTAATACATATAAAATAATTTATTATAAAATATTTTCAACAAGGTAGAACATTCTCCTCAAGACATTGCTTCTTACCAGTAGAAAAGATAAACTCGTTATCTAAGAAGTTGCTTTGAGGAGAGAAGTAATTTACAGTGGTTTTCATTGTCTAAATTTCTTCACCCCAAATTTTATGCACATTTTCACTACTGAGATCATAGAGATTGAAAAACGTAGGGATTTGACCTTCCCACATATACTTGCCTTTCATAGTAGCAATATTTCCTGAATAAAATGAGCTCACAGATCAAAATATCATAACAACATGCAGCAAAAGATGCCCCTGCTGGTGTGGTTCAGGGGATTGAGTGCAGGCCTGTGAACCAAAAAGTCACTGGTTCAGATCCCAGTCAGGGCACATGCCTGGGCTGTAGCCCAAGTCCCCATTATGTGCTACTCCAGAAGCAACCACACATTTCTCTCCCTTTCCCTCTCTAGAAGTAAAATAAATAAAAAATTTAAAAATAACATCAAAAGGAGCAATAAAAATTAAAATCTCATGAAACAAAGTTCTTAAATTAGCCATGTAGATTCTTTAAAAATATATTTTAATAATTTATAATATACAACAAAAACAATTAAAATAAAAATCTCCAAAATTATCAAGCAAAAATTAAAAGTATGAAAATATAATACTTAAAAAACAAATCTGTAAAAGAAAAAAATAGCATAATGTATACACTGAGAAGAGAATAAAGGAATTAATAAATTATAAAACCAAATTAACCTCTCAGGAGGATGAAGAAACAGATCAAGAACTAGAAGACATAAAATAAAATATAATCAGTACAGGAGATAGAATCATTAGAATTAAATACAGAGATTAGCATCTCAGAGAAAGATAAAATGGGAAGGAAAAATATTTTAAGAAACAATGGAGATACATTTCTGAGAATCAATACTAAATAAAAACTAAAGTCTTTTTTATTTTATTTTTTGTTTCTTAATTTTTTATTTAAAAATCAAAGGGCTTAGGAATGACAATAAGCCCTAACAAGTGTGCCTCAGTTGGTTGGGTGTCTTACCGCAAAGCAAAACGTTACAAGGTCACCATTTTGATTCCTGCTCAGGGAACATGCCTAGGTTGTAGCTGGTACCTGGTTGGGAAAAGCTCGAGGGGCAACAGATTGATGTTTCTCCCACACATCAATGTTTCACTTCTTTTTTCCCCACTCCCTTTCTCTCTTTCTAAAAAGAAATACATTAAATCTTTAAAATAAAAGAATGACAATGAAAAATGATATGGAAAAACCTGAGCCCAGACATATTTTATAAAAATGTATACCTATACAATGATAAAGAAAAACATGTAAAAGCCTAAATAGAAAAAAAATATTATGTCCAAAATAGCGAGAATCTGATTTACATAAGATTTTTCAATAGTAAAATTAGTTGAAAGAAAAAAGTAAGAAAGGGAAGGGTCATCAAGGAACATGTATGAAGGAGCCATGGACAAAGCTAATTGGGAGAAGGACTGAGGGTGGGGTGTGGGTGAGGTGGGGAAAAGTGCTAATGGGAAAATGGAGACAACTGTACTTGAACAACAATAAAAAGTAATAAAAGCAAATGAATTTCAAAAAAATTAAAAATTTAAAAGTAAAGAACTTAAAACACAGTTTTATATCCAGCTCAAATGTCATTCACATATTAGACCATGATAAAAATATTCTTAGAGGCATTAAATACTTAAGAATGTTTATCCAAACAGACTAACATTGCAAACAATTTTGGATGAATAGCTAAGTGGAAGGATATATTTAAAGGATATCTTCAAAAATATAAAATAAAATGACCAAATATATTGGTAAA